AATTCACAGATTAACCACATAGCCTAGAAATATTGAAAAAAAATAAGAAAAAGTTAGATATGTCATGAATGTATAAAATATATGTAGATACTAGTGTATCCTTACATAGGCATAAGGTGAGTGATATTTAATATAAAATTAATATGTTAGTTTTCTTCCTGTTTTATAACTTTGCTTTCAAAGAATTATATTACCGTACAGTGTGCTTCTCTCTCTCTCTCTCGTATTGGAGAAATTGTGTATCAGCCTATCATCACAGGCAAATGGGTTTTTCTTAGAGTAACGATTCCAATACTATATTATGAGTATGATTAGAATACTGTATGCTATAAAAATTTTATAATGACTCATTCTTTACTGTATAGGCTAGGCTACCATGAAGCAATTATATCGATTACACCACACTCCCATAAAGCAATCATATTGCTGCTTCTTTGTTAACAATGCATGCATTGTTATACCTCTAAACAAATATGAATTTCTTTTTCACATTATCTTTCCAGTTTTGATGTCCAGAGTTACACACCAAAATGTATGACTCCTGCAGTGTTTTGTACCGTATGAGACAATATTGATATGGGTACTGACAGAGAGATGATTTATCTTGTAAAAGACAATGTAAACTTACAGTATTGATAAATACAGTACTATAAATGTATTTTCTCTTTCTTATGACTTTTTTAACATCTTTATTGGAGTATAATTGCTTTACAATGGTGTGTTAGTTTCTGCTTTACAATAAAGTGAATCAGCTATACATATACATATATCCCCATATCCACTCCCTCTTGCATCTCCCTCTCACCCTCCCTATCCCACCCCTCTAGGTGGTCACAAAGCACTGAGCTGATCTCCCTGTGCTATGTGGCTGCTTCCCGCTACCTATCTATTTTACATTTGGTAGTATATATAAGTTTCTTATGACTTTCTTAATAACATTTTCTTTTCTCTAGCTTGCTTTATTGTAAGAATACAGTATGTAATACATATACAAACCATGTGTTGATTGACTTTATGTTATTGGTAAGCTTCCAGTCAACAGTAAGCTATTAGTAGTTAAGTTTGGGGGGAGTCAAAGGCTATACACAGATTTTTGACTGTGCAGGGGGTTGGCGCCCCTAACCCCTGTGTTGTTCAAGGATCAACTGTATACTTAAAGCAAGAAGAAAGGCGAAAATAGTAAAGAATAGAAATCAATGAAATCGAAACAGAAAAACAATAGAGAAAAAGAAATGAAACATAAAGGTGGTTCTTTGAAAATATCAATAAAATTGATGAACCTTCAGCTAAATGAATCAAGAAAAAAGGAGAGAAGACATCAACTACCAATATAAGAAATGAAAAAAGGGACCTCACTAAAGACCCCACAGATATTAAAAGAATAGTAAGGGAATACTATGAATAACTTCATTCTTATGAATTTAACAACTTAGATGAAACGGACCAATAGTTTAAAAGACAAAAATTACTAAAACTCGGTCAAGAAGGAATAGAAACCCTGAATGATCCTATAACTATTAAAGTAATTAGATTTGTAGTTAAAATTCTTCTGACAAAGGAAACGCCAGGACCTGATGATTTCATTGGTGAATTTTATCAAATATTGAAAGAAGAAACAGTGATTCTGTATGATCGAGAAAACAGAAGAGTGGCATTCATGACTTTTACTCTTTCTTAGAGGTCTTCCAAAAAAGAACAAAAGATGTATTTATTTTCTTTATGAAATAAAACTCCTATCTTGCAATTACCATGTGGGTCCATTGAAACCTCTTAGAATATGATAGATCATGGGATCTTAGCGATCTTGATTTAATCATACTAGATCTATTTCATTATTCTAAGAAATATTCAATCATTGTTCATTAATTATTTCCAGCTGTGCTAAAAAAAAGGAGACTAAATAATAAGAAGAAAACAAAAAATGATGGCATCTCCTAGCAGGATGATACAATATTGAAATGAATCACCACTATTACACCATCCTTCAGTTTTCTGATTGCACTGCTCAAAGTGTAACAGCATCTTTCAAGAAGGTAAAAAGAAGACAGTGACACCATCCTTGTCATCTTATGTTAGCTTTCACTGAATGTAGTTGAAAATTGAGAATTCTTATTTCATGCACAAGTGGCAAAGGGAAGAAAACTAAGATCAGGAAATGTTTCACAATTATTAGCAGAAGATGATGGTGAACTTGATCATATAAGCCAAATCTCTTGATGAGTGAGTAAGTGATACATGTGTAAGAACAACAAGGAAATTTGTTATTTTCATTTAGTTAGTCATTCATCAGGAAGGACTGGATCGTACAATATTTTGTGACAAGAAGCTGACCATCTAATTCTGCTAAAAGGACACTTGACAGTGTTCTTTCATCTCTGATGACGTACATGTACCAAAATGTACTTGATGTGGGTTGTCAGTAGATAAATGGACAAGGCCCGTGTGTTTTAAACAAGGGAATAGATTGGGAGGGAATAGATGGTGTAAATGAAACAGGTCATTGGACCAATCACTCTAATTGCTATTTACACATTTAAAAATGATGTGCAGTTATGAAGCAAACGAAATGGTCTTCCTCTCTTTGACAAAATTATGAACCTTCAAAGCTTTCCAAAGTAGTGCATTTTGATGATGCAGGTGGAAAGTGAAGGCCGGGAAGGCAGAGGGGCCCCACTGAGAGGGCAGGATGGCTTCCAATAAGGCAAAAGGCATCTAGGTTTGGCTGGTGGAGAGTGAGGCTGGGGAGGGTGGAAGAGGCTGAGCTCTCCAGGCAGAGGAAGTGGCCCCTCCCCAGAGGCATCCTGGGTTCCAATCTCTGTCCGCCGCCCATCACCTGGGTCCTTTTGGACAAGTCAGTAACTTTTCTCTAGGCCCCAATTCCTTCATCTGCAAAGGCAGGTAGTGATGCCTCCTTAAAGGGCTGTGGGGTATGAAAAGATACACCTTCATGAAACACAGGTACGGGGTCCGGCCACGGGAAGGCTTGGCTTTCTAAAGCAGTGCCTTGGTTGGGGTCTCAAAGCTCGCCCTCCACCAGACCCTTGGAGCCCAAGCTGGGTCTCCCTGGAACCCACCACTTCCTCTATATACATCCTCTACTCTGGGGCTGCTGAAGGATGTTTCTATGGCACAACGTGACCCACACGCTCCACGGCATAAAATCCTCTCCTGCCTACTGACCAAGCCTGGCACTCGAGCCCCGTCACATCCAGCCCTCCTGCATCTCGAGGCCTCCTCTCCCGCTGTGCATGCCACTTCTGAATACGCATCCTCTCCCCATTCCCTCAATGTGCTCCACACTCCCACCTCTGTGGTTTTGCAAATGCTGCTCCCTGGCCTTGAACCACGGTCTGGTAACCTGCACCGGACGAACTCCTACTCACACCTCAAGACCCAACTGAAATGTCCTGTTTTTTCTGTGCACCTCAAGCAGGCTTAGCCTCTCGCCTCCCTGTGGCACTTCAGACATCCTTCTATTTCTTTATTTTTGTACGTGTCGCAGTTCAGCCCCGAGCCCCTCAAAGGGAGTGTGCATCTCATCCATCTTTGTACCTCCGAGTCCTGGGGCGACACTGAGTACACAGCAGACCCTCAGTAAATGTGTGATGAATGAACCAATAATACAACTAAGAAGGTGGAATCATTTGGATGGGAAGATTGCGCTTTGTGGTTGAAATTTTCCATATCCACTCTGCATACATTCTCCAGAAAGTTCTTTCTGAAGGATATTTTTGTGCTTTGTTTTAACATTAAGCAATCAAGTCTCATATTAAAGCTCCTCATAAATGGAGCAATTGGAAGCAGGTGTTCAACTCACATGTGACATGATCGTTTCACTTAGAAAGAGACTACAGTCGTTTTTTTTCTCGCTGGCTTTTTAAGTATAGACAAAATAAAACCAGCAAATTCAGAGGGAAAAATTAAGGTGCAAAATCAGAGGGCCTCTGAAGCCTAGCCAAGTGCCACAAAGTCTGGCTCAGTGACAGGGGCTTCTGGGGGTTCCCCCTTCCAGGGGTTGCCCTTGCCGGGTGGAAGGGGCACTTGCCTATAGCCCCTGGGACCTGGGAGTACCTCAAGGGCAGAAGGACCCAGTGAATGCCACTACTGCGTTGTATCACTGCAGCAGCAAATGCAGCGGATGGTAACGTTTCAAAAAATATTAATAGTGCACTTATAATAATTGGTCAAGGAGTGGCTGAATGGCTACTCCATTCATGTAGATCCTGTCAACAGATCTCAATGGAGAGCAGACTGTGACACGTCCTGGTAAGATGGGAACCCACTACCGCTTCAAGGAGCACATGCTCTTACTGAGAGAAGCCAAGGAGACAAACGGAGTCACAGCTCAGCTGGACGCAGAGATTTTCCTGCTGTGAGTGAGGCCAGCATTGGGTGGCCGGGGGTCTGGTGGGGAGCACTGCCTAGGAAAGGGCTGGAAGGGGTCCTCGCACCTCCCAAAGCAGCTGGCACGGCTGAGCCCAAATTTATAAAAAGAAAAATATACAAGCATATGTGTGTATTTATGCACATAGAAAAAAGACTGAAATGACACTCAGTATCCATCAGTTACCATAAGGTGTTCTGTGCTTCCCCAGTTCACACCTACTGCCCAGGTTAACGTCTCAGGCCTGGAGGAAGTCCACGTGTTCTCCTGACAAGCACTGCGCCTCCCTCTGCATACTGTGTCCCCAAATGTCTTGGAAGGCTGAGCAACACGCGTATATATCTGACCCAAGGCTCATAAAAAGAAAAACAGATATGTATATATTTATATGCAAAGCAACAAGACCGGGATGATACACTTTGAAACAAAAATGACGCTCACAGGTGCTTAAATCAGGTGTATCTTCTAACCTGTATCTGCATTTTCTAGTCTTTCTACACCGAATGTGTAATTCTGAATGTGATTTTTCTTGAACTAAGGAAAAGACAAAATAAACAGCTCCTGGGGGGCAACTCCATCATCTGCACCCATGTGTGGACCCATGCTGCTCTCCTACCTAATGAGTCTCTGAGGCGCGGTGTCTTCTATTCTGAACGGTCTCTTCTCACACAAAATTTCGAAATTCGTGGAAATTTAACGTGACGCTGAGCCTCAAGCCAAGAAGGCCCAGAAATCGCTCGAAATCCTCGTCCTTCAGATTGGAGAGCAGGTGCTGCAGCTGATGAAGGTCATGCATGGTGACGATGCCATCCCTGTCCGTGTCCATCTTAAAGAAAGCCGCGTAGAGGTCCTAGAGTCAAAAACGGCAGCGTCAAAGACTGTCCCCCAGAACCTGATGTCATCCCCCCCACCCCTGCCCCCCGCGCTGTGGACTCATCTCCAAAGTGAGGAAGGAGCCGTGTTTCGACTTGGCTTTTTGGAGATTTCACTGCTCCAGGAATATCCTTGCCATGATTTGCTTTCCCCAGGAAATGATGAACTATGTCCACAGGTACCCTCTTTTAATGCAAAGAGTTCAGGAAAAGGGACAAGAAAGGTGTTTCTTTCCCTTCTGCTCCCTCGGCTTCCGGGACCGGTACTTCTAGTACCAGAAGTAAGAATAAGTACGCTGGAGCTTTCCAGGACATATAAAAATCTTGCCCTCAAGTTTTTATACAATTTTCATAATGTTTGGCAACTTCTGTCCACGGGAAAGCCAGCGCTGTGCTGATCTCACCCTGAGTTGCTGCCCAGAGGCTGGGCCCTGTTTTGATGCCTGTGCTGAAGGCCCCGCCTGAAATCTGCCTCTGTGTCTGCAGGTCGTGCTGCATGAGGGCGGTGTTTCCCATTTTACAGATGGGGAAACAGAGGCCTGCAAGGAACTTGTGGTCGAGGCCAGGCTGCACAGCTCAGGGCACACACTGGAGGCGGGTCGCTTAGTTTCAAAGCTCAGCTCTGCTGGCTACTAGCAGAGTGACCAAGGGCAAGAGACTTAACCATGCCAGGCTTCTCATGTGTAACGGGAGGAGTATAAAGTCCCTGCCTCTGGGGTGGCTGTGAGGACTGAATATGCTAACGAGGTGAAGCACTTAGGAGGTGACTGACAGGTTTCCTAAGGGCTCTAAAATGTCGTTACTATTACTGTTGCTTGAGGTCGGACAGCAAGTGCCTGGCAGCGGGATCTGAATCAGGTCTGTCTGGGACAATACCCTGCGGCCCCCCACCAACGACCCCGTGTCTCAGGCTTGGAGAGCTGCAGCTGCTGTGGTCCCAGTACCCCTGTTGCCATCAGCCCGAGGCAGTCCCACCCACGGATCTCTCTGGATACTTCGGAGGCCCCGCCTGTACCTTCACGTCCCAGGACCCTCCACAGAGGTCATGTAAGGCAAGCCCTGCCATGACTCGAGTGTCCACTACAAACCTTTTGGGATTTTGTGGCAAGATCTATCTGTACTCACTCACTTATTCTTTCACCAAAAATTACTCAGCACTGACACATGCAATCACTACACTAAATACGGTGGGAACCGACTTCAAGTGCTACCCCTACCTCTCAGAGATGCCACTGTCCAGTGGCCCCTTCTCCAGGAGCACAGCCTGCCGGGGCTGCAGGCCCATCTCTTTGCTGCTGATTCCCTCCACGTCACAGCTCCAAGCCCTCGCACACCCTCCAAACCCCCGTCTCCAAAAGCTGTGAAGTAACTCCCCTTGGATGTCAAAACAAGCAAGGCCGAAATCAAACTCCTGGCCCCGCTGGACCCAGTTCGTCCGTGTCCTTCCAGCTCGTCCGTGTCCTTCCAGCTCGTCCTCCGGGTCCTTCCCAGCTCGTCCTCCGGGTCCTTCCCAGCCTCGTCCTCCGGGTCCTTCCCGCTCGTCCTCCGGGTCCTTCCAGCTCGTCCTCCGGGTCCTTCACAGCACGTCCTCCGGGTCCTTCCCGCTCGCCCTCCGGGTCCTTCCAGCTCAAGAAGTGGCAGCGTCTTCTTTCTGTTGCTCAGACCACAAACCTAGGGAGCGTCCCCGGGTCCTCCCTTTGCCTCGCACCCCGCAACCAATCTGCCCACACAGCCATGGGTTCAGAGCTTCATTTCTCCCACTTCCACTGCCTCCACCCGGACCCAAGGCTCCTGGGCTTCCACCCAGGAAGGCTCCCACCCTCGCCCAGGCCCCTATTCTCACAGCAGCCAGTGATAACTGCACAGCTCAAGCCAGTGCACGTCGCTCCTCTGCTCAACCCACGGCACTCGGGTCCAATCCTCATTCCTGACTGTGGCTCCAGCCCCCTACCCCTCTGCCCTGGGGGGGGGGGGCGTGCACGACTCTGTCAGGTACACGACTTTGATCTTGTTGGGGTTGAACTTAGGCAGCATGGTGGAGGCGGCTGGTGTCAGATGAACCCGGATTCGGGACGACTGAAGAAAGTTGCACCTTGGCCTCCTCCGAGCCGAGAGCCGAAAGCTACTTGCTGCTGTTGGAACATGCCAAGCCTGCCTCCGGCACTCCAGGGATTCTCCACCAGACCTGCTAGGCCTTTGGTCTCTGCCCGAATGCCACCTCTCCAGGGAGGCATTTCCTGTCCTCTGTGTACAAGGGCACCACTCTGATGGGTCTCTGGCCTCTTACCCTGCTTTATTTTTCTTCCTAGCCCGTTTCACCACCTGACACTCTGGAGACTCACGTGCTCACTGCCTGCTCCACCTCTAAAGGTAAACGTGATATCTGGGCTCTGATCCATTCCTCGTGACAGCTCCAGTCCAGAGAGCAGTGCTTAAGAAACATCCGTGGAGTGAGGCTGGGTATGAACGATGCAGCAAATATTTCCTGGGTACCTATGATGCACCAAGCACCCTGCTAGGTACAGGGACGTACTGATAACTGGCCCCTGACATCAAGATTCTCAGTCCAGTAGGGAAGAAAGATGTGTAAGCAAATTACAGCAAGTCAGCGTGATAAATGCAGCAAAAGGCGGGGGGTGGGGGGGAAGAAGTGCTCTGACGCAGCCCTAATTGCTGGACTACAGGGACAATCTAGATGCCATGGAAACCCATATTTATAATCTTCACAAATTTAAAAAATTTACTCATTCCCTGAATCTCAGTCTTTGACTTCCCAGCATGAAGACTCCTAATTTTATTGGAGCCAACACATGTTGGAGTGAAAAAGATATTATTTCAATTCCTGGCTACGACATTTACTAGGTATGTGGCTTCGGGGAAGTCTCTCCCCATCTCTGACCCTCCGTTTCTTCATCTATAAAATGGGAATGCTAGCACCTACTTGATAGGCTAGTTGTGGGGACTGAAACAACTGAGGCCATGTAGGTTCACTGCCTGGCATGTAAAGTGAATTCTCTTATGCATTCAACAAACACCTATTTGCATGGCACGCACCGTGGTAGCCAGTTGTGTTATCGTGCCTTGACGTCTCATGGAATTACAAGTCCCCGCACACTGCATGCCGGAAGGTGAGTGGACAGCAGCAGACCTCCCAGCAGGTCTGAAGGGCCAGAGGGAGGACCAAGAACTTAAGAAGGACCAGCGCTTTGGTAGGAGTTAGCTGGTCACAGAGAGAGGAGTGACAATCCAGGCAAAGGAGTAGAATGTGCAAGGCCAGGAAGGGGAGGCTGGGTGCTGGCCGGAGTGTGACGGGAAGAGGAGGGGGGTCGAGAGGGGCCAGAGAGGGGCTGCAGACCAGCCAGGCAGGACCCGGGCTCATCCTAAGAGAAAGGGTACACTCTGACCAGAGCTGCGTGTTGGGATCACCCTGCAAGGTCAGGTGTCCAGGACAGATTGTGAAGTGAAAAATGCAGTGGCAGAAGCATATGTATAGGAGACCCTATTTGTGTGGGGATTTTGATCCTGCTTATTTTTTTTAAAATATACATGACTTCACAGACATGCGCCTGAACCTGCACGGACGCTATCTAGAGGGTGAGGTTGATGGTGAACCCACAAGGGCCACAGGAACCTGTCCCCAGCTCATGTCCCCAGGTCACCCAGGGGGTCTCTGTGCCTGCTTTCCTCACCATAATCAGGGAGGGGGGATGCCCCTTGTTTGGTCACAGTGAATTATTTCCTTCGACTGTTCGTGGTCTTTGGCCTGGGCTATGAGGTTGAGGCTGCCTTACTCAACTGTGCTGTTGTCCGTAAACCTAACTGTGCTGAGATGGACTCATTTGGCTACAAAATCACTGGGCAAACAACAGCAGCAGCAGGATTAATAGCATTTTCAACTACTACGAAATAGTTTTTTCATTATTGATGGAGAGAGATATTCAAGAATTTCTCATGAATAGGAACTCAATAAAAGAAATAAAGTGACTGTACCTTCCCACTCAACAATCAAGACACAGTCTTTGGGACTTCCCTGGTGTCGCAGTGGTTAAGAATCTGCCTGCCAGTGCAGGGGACACGGGTTCGAGCCCTGCTCCGGGAAGATCCCACATGCCGCAGAGCAATTAAGCCCGTGCACCTCAACTACTGAGTGTGCGCTCTAGAGCCTGCGAGCCACAACTACTGAAGCCCGCGAGCCACAACTACTGAAGCCCGCACGCCTAGAGCCCGTGCTCCGCAACAAGA